GGAGGAGGAGGAGGAGGAGGAGGAGGAGGAGAAGGAGGCGGAGGAGGAGGGGGAGGAGGAGGTGGTGGAGGAGGGGGGGGGGGAGCAGGAGGAGGAGGAGGAAGAGCAGGAGGAGGAGGAGGAGGAGGAGGAGGAGGAGGAGGAGGAGGAGGAGGAGAAGGAGGAGGAGGAGGAGGAGGCGTATGGAAGAGGATTCCCCCTAAAAAGGCAGAGAGAGCAGGCGGACGGGGAAGGAACAAGTAAAGGAGGATAAGCGGTAAGGAGTAAGGAGGAAGAGGGAGAAGGATTGGGGCAAGGTGTCCATATGCTCTGCATCCCAGCACGATTGACACATGCTGGCTCGATTTGCTCATACGGGGAAGCCCCGTACGGGATGCTCCAAGCCGGCCAAGTAACCTTTTAGACCTTCCATTCTGTGGTTGTGCTGTGACATATTCTTTCCTATTCGGAAGATTCAGGAGGGGACGATGGGAGGCGGAAGAGAGGGAAGAGGGGGAGAGGGGGGAGAAGGCTTCTTGTTGGCCTGTTGGGGCCCTCTTAGGTTTTTTTTTAAGTTTCGGGGCCTCCTGGGGCTTTGAAGGCCTCCTTGGGGGCCGCCGGACGCCTCCGGGAAACCGTCTTTGGGTCGTTTTGGGGCCCTCTTGGGGAGATTTCGGGCCGTCTTGGAGGTCTGTTGGGGGCCATCTCAGGGCCTTTTGGGAGCCGTCTTGGGGGCCTTTTGGGGCCGTCCTGAGCCCTCCTGGTCCGTCCAGGGGGAATTTGGGGGACCTCTACAGGGCCGTTTTGGGGCCATCTTGGTGGCCTCTCGGGCCGTCTCCTCTCGGGCCGTCTTGTGCCGTCGGAAGCCTGAAAAGTCGAGAACGCAACAGATCCTCCAGACGAGATCATCCCAACGGTCCATGACATTTCATGGTTGCGGCCTCGTGGCTGCCGCCAGGGAGGGCCTCTTGGAGCCCTCCTGGCCCGTCGCGGGAGCCGACTGGCCCGCCTGGAAGCCATCCTGGACCGTCTCGAGACCACGTTGGGCGAACTTGGGAGGCACTCTTGGGCGAAGGTGGAGGCCTCCGTGGCCCTCGTGGGTCTCACGGGCCCCCTTCGAGGCCCTCTTGGGCCGTCGTGGGCCAATTCGGCAGCCTCCTGGGGCCCTCTCCGAGGCGAGCCTTCGAGGGATTCTGGGGCTCTTCCGCGGAGGTCCCCCCCCCCCGAGGGGCGAGAGCGGCCCCCGAGGCGGCCCCGGGACGGCTCCACGAGACGGCCCCGGCCCACGACACGGCCCCCGGACGTCCCGAGAGATCCCCCAGAAGCCGTTGGTTTCCTGCCCGCCCTCGCCGTTTCGCCGCTCCCCTGTCCGCGAGCTGCGGCGCGCCGCTCCCCGCCCCCCCCCCCGCAGCCGTGCCCATCCCCCCCCCCGTCCTCCTACGACCCCCACGACCCTCTTCCGAAGACCTGCCTCGCTCGGCCCACGGAGGTAGTGAGATCTTGGGGACTCGCCGCCCGCGGACCACTGGCCCGAGCACGCAGGCGCACAGAGTCTCCCAGCTGCGTCCGGTCGGTGCCCGCGGGCCTCCACCAGTCCATGGCGCGTGCCTCGCTGCTCGTCGCGTTCTCGCTGGTGGCGCTCGCAGCAGGCGCCGACGAGAGCTGCAGCAGCGGCGCGGAGGAGGCCGCCCTCCTGCAGACGGGGAACAGCCAGGGCAGGAGCATCACGGCGCACGGTGCGCGTGCAGGGTCTTCGTGCGCCCCGCCGCTTCCCGGCAAGAACAACGGCGGCAGCAACATGGGCAGCTCGCCGGGCTCCGGCTACGGAGGAGACGCGTCGAGCTGCGAGCAGCTCTGCGGCAGCACGGGCGGGTGCCAGGGGTGGACCTTCATGCAGTCCATCCAGACGTCCACGAAGCAGTGCTGGCTCAAGGATGCGAACCTGTACTGCCCTGCCCAGGACAGCACCGACCCGTACAACACGTACACCTCCGGCTTCTGCAACGGCGCGTGCTCGAGCCCAGGCCCCACCCCGAGCCCCCCGAGTCCGGGGCCCGAGTGCGCCTCGCCGCTTCCCGGCAAGAACAACGGCGGCAGCAACATGGGCAGCTCGCCGGGCTCCGGCTACGGAGGAGACGCGTCGGGCTGCGAGCAGCTCTGCGGCAGCACGGACGGGTGCCAGGGGTGGACCTTCATCCAGTCCATCCAGACGTCCACGAAGCAGTGCTGGCTCAAGGATGCGAACCTGTACTGCCCTGCCCAGGACAACACCGACCAGTACAACACGTACACCTCCGGCTTCTGCCGCGGCGCGTGCCGGTGAGCACCGAGTCGTCGTGTGCGATGGGCATGCGGAAGGCTGTGAGCCGTCAGCCGTGGGACTCTTGTGCGCAATTCGTCTTCTCTCTGCCTCTCGCCGTCTGCTTCAAGTCCTACCACTCATCCCTGTGGCTACGTAGCTTTTTCTGAACAGTCCTCGGGCACGTCGCTTTGATTAGTTTAGGAAGCAGCTGTTCTTCTCCGTCTGCTTCAAGCCCTATCGCCCATCTCTTCTGGCTACGTAGCTTTTCTCGTGCAGTCCTCGTGCAGATCGTTTTGATTAGTTTAGCAGTGCCGTGCGCTAGAACGTGGGCCCTTAGAGACCCTTGGGACAGCTCTCGCGCTAGCGGGCGGCCGATCTGAGTATTGCCATTGGCAGCGCGGTTCAGAAAGACAGCATCATACCATTCTCGTCGGTCTGTCTGCGCCCCCGCATCGCGCCAACGCTGTGGTTCGAGTACCTGCGAGGGATGTCTTGTGCGCAGCTCCAATCGCGCATCGCGTCCACTCGTTACAATTGCGGCCATGAGTCGTGCACGTTTCACTGCCGCCATCAAGCGAAATGGTTGACGCTTCGCGTATCCGCACCAGCCCTCTTGCGCGGCCCGCTCGGACCTTCCTCGCCGTCGGCGCTCTCGCCTGCGGTTGCGACAAAAAGTATCCGCGCCAGCCCATCCAGAAATGATGCCCAGGGGAGTTGAGGTGATCAGGGAAGTGGGAGAGCATGCGGAATAACAAAAGGGCGGGGGGAGCCGTCTTATGCCCCAAGAGGGGGATGATGGAGTCGTCGTCGTCGTCGTCGTCATCGGAGGAGGAGGAGGAGGAGGAGGAGGAGGAGGAGGAGGGGGAGGAGGAGGTGGAGTAGGGCGAGGACGAGGATGACGAGAAGGAGGAAAAGGAGGACAACGAGGGAGAGTTGGGTACCTCGGGGATCCTCTTGAGGTCTCGCACGGGGTCTCTTGGGAGCCTCTTGGAGGCCTCTTGGGGCCGTCTGGGCGCGTTCGTGGGCCATCTTGGGGCGCTCTGGGGGGCTTCAGGGGCGCTCTTGGGGCCATCCTGGAGGACATCGATCAAACAAGAGGGGGGCTTCAACTAGCCTCCACCCTCGGGAGCACCGACCATCGCCTCCTGGACCCCTCTTGGAGCGCTCTTGGGGCGCTCTTGGGCGCTCTGGGGCCGCCTTTGGGGCTCTCTTGGGCGGGCCTCTCCTGGGGCTCTCTTGGGCCATCTTGGAGCCATCTTGAGGCCTCGGATGGCCAATGGAAGCGAAGAGGCGAAACCGCAAACATCATTGATGTTCCTGGAATGTTTGAAGGATTTTGGCTTCTTGGGGGCCTTCTTGGAGGTCTCGGAGGCCTCTTGGAGCCTCTTGGAACGTTCTTGGGGCCTCTTGGAGCATCGTTGAAGCCATCTTGAGGCATCGTGCGCCTTCTTGAGCCATCATGGACCTCATCTGGGACTCAGTGGCCCTCTCGGAGCCGTCTTGGGCCATCTTGGACGCTCCAGCCCCTCGCCGCCCCCCACGTCCAGGTCCAGGGTAGGGGGTAGGGAGAGCGGTTCAAGGCAGCCCCTAGATAGCAAGCCGTCTAGCTCACCCCCACCCGCCCTCCCAGCACATAAGTAACACCCGAGCCTGAGCATGTTCAGCGGTCGTCTTTGGACGGGCAGTTACTGGGAAGCAAAACCGATCCTTTGTGCGCGACGCTTGGGCGAGGTGCGCCACGCGTGCCAGGCGCGCCACGCGCGCCAGGCATCCCTGGGGCCCGAGCGTGCCAGGTGCGCCTGGTGCGCCAGATGCGCCACGTGCTCCGCGTGCGCCAAGTGTGCCGCGTACTCCAGCCGCGCCAGGTGCGCCACGTTCGGGGCACGTGCAGAGTGCGTCAGGTGCGCCTGCGCACGTGACAGCATACATCGGGAAACATGTAGGCCCCCACCATCCTTGTCGAAAACCAATGCCCATAATTGTGTCTGGTGGGCCTGCGCACAGCAGGCCATGTGCCACCACGCGCTTTCCCTGTCAAAACCACTTGGCAGTGATCGCGGGATGGCCGCGGACTGCGCCGCCGACTACATGTGTGATCGAATTGCCCAGAACGAACTAATGCCATCTATGGGAAATCAATACTTCGATGGCGTGTTGGCGGGAGAATGCGCATTACTCTGGGTGGCCGCGCCCGCTGATTGGCATGTTCGACTACTGGGGGAGCGTGCCGGGCCACGCTACTAAGGAACCTCCTGGCCACAGCGCGTGCTCTCAGGATGCAAGTGGTGATCATGGGACCACTGATACATTGGTGAACGTTCGGACCTATGCGAGATGCTCTTGAGAGCCGAAATCTCAGAGGTATCCAGATGCGTCTCTGCCACTTCGGTATCAAGTACGTTCGTGCCGATAAGAAGCCAAGTGGCTCATATATACTGGTACGTACCTCGTGCCCTACAATCCCGACAAACCTATGGACATGCACTTGTACATCTGTCAGGAATCAACAAGTAGATTGATGCGGACACGGCCGACATTATGCTAAGTGGCGAAACGCAGCCATGGCATTCCTGAAAGCACAACTGGTGGATCAACCGGATCAAAAATGTAATCTGAAGTGCTTTCACCCGCGCGTACGAGTGAATAGTTCTTTTCAATCGAACGCCAGCGGACCAAATGGGGACGACGTAGTCCATCGTTTAGCCCTAAACGCTGATATCAAAATGTGATCTAGTATATTCTGCTACAAGACCAACCAACAGTATGCGAGTGGAAGGCGCCGTTACCATCGGGCGTTCGCATTTTATGTGCGCGATTGTACTGGGAACCCGCGGCCCCAACCATGCTCGGCCACAGGCAGGCGACGTGCTCGAGAAAGCGAGTTGCGTTCATCATAAATGAGCGATCCCCCCCTCTCGACTGGGCTTGACGGGGGTCTTCGAATACATTCACCATTCCCGGCTTTCGAGGCGGGCGCGCCATAAACGCAGACGGCATTGCCTACCGATGCCCGGTTAAAATAAAATTATCAAAAAGTTGACGAGGCAGCCGGCATCGCAGGGGCAGAGGATACCCAAACAGGCCGAAGACGGCAACGACGAGTGTGGTGATGACATCAGGGGGCTAGGATGTGTCATTCTATTTTTCGATGTTCTAACAGAGGAACTTGATTCTGAATGCGACGGCCATCCCTTCCTCTAACACTACCAATCGGCGGACACGCGGGCCGAGATACTTGGGATCGTCCCCGCCGTGTGTTATGGACGGGGCAACTGCGTAGATCTGTTGGAACTCTGTGGAGGCATTGGCAGCATATGTCACTTTGTCTTCAAGAGGAAGTTGAGCTCCGGTGTTAGACAAACTCACCAACGTCGACCCAGGAAACCCACGAATACAACAAGTTGTGGAACACTATCAGCACGCCTGCTTTGTCACAGTAGTATTGCTACAGCTCAATTGCAGAACCGCAGGTCTGCCCTCCTATTTCAACGCAGACGTGAACCGCGACACTTAGTCAAAGCACCTCAGGGGGGGACCTTCCCCGCATTATTTTCCGTGGTGAGGTCGCCGTTGTGCAGGGCCACCTGCAACGCGCATTCCTCAGGGAACAACCGCTTGGTGTGTGGGTAGATGCGATTGCCCCATGGTCGACCCTCGCCAAAAATAAGACCTACCTGCGCGCAAATCATTGACCAATGCTCGACAGGGTTGCGAGCCTCTCACTGCGCTCGCCAGGAAGCCCGCCGAAATAGTTGTTAATCAGAGAGCAGCCCTTAGAACCTTAAACAACAGATGCGCTGGCCAGCGCGAGCGCGTCCAAGCATGCAGCAGGGAATCAGCGCAGGCGGCCCGACGCGCACTGAAGATCTGACCGTTGATGCGGTCTAGATTGTGCGAGTGCTTTTTGCGCGAGGTAAGAGCCCATTCGCATGTCCGAACGAGACAAGCACCTTCGTGGTAAACAGTGCTGGGTATGACCATGGCGATCCTACGGTGCCTCGAAAAGCTGCTGGGTCAGTTCGCCGACCGCCGTCGAGCGGGCTGGGGTGTCCAGCGCGCGCCGACAACGCGCGCGTGAACTCGCCGCGGCACGACCGCGACCCACAGGTAAACCTATCACTGGGAGTGCCCAAGTTGCAAGAGGGATTGGTCTGAACAGGCGGGGCCACCTGCTGACGCCAGGCAAATGTAGATTTGCCAATCCCTGGCGACTGCCAGACAACTTCGGACGCGCCCCGCCCGCCGCGCCAGCACCGGCGAACGGTGCGCCTGCGCCGGCGGCCGCTGCGCCAGCGGCGGCGCAAGCACCAGTGGACGACTTGTTCGACGAAGCACCAGCACCAGCAGAATTTTTAACCTGCGCGACAGAGGTCGTGGTGCTACTCGCGGCCACGCGCGCCTCTACCTGCGCGCGGAAACCCCGGGCGCCCGTCCGTGGGTGCCAGCTGCCGCTGCGATGTGACACTAGGTGCGCGCAGCTCTGGCGGCAGCGGTGCTAGCAGCCCTGGCGCTGGCAGCTCTTCGGGTCCACCGCGCGTCGTAGGGCGGCGTGGGCGCGGGGGGGGGGGGCGGCGGAGCGCCGCCTCTTCCTCCGCCTCGAGCCGAAGCGCGGGCGCGTGCGAGACTGCCTGAGGCCAGGTCTAGATTCGACATTCAGGTCGGTCTCCAAAGCTCGTGCAGCTTCAATCCGTCTATCGTAGTAAAGGAACTACGCAAGCTCCACCTACGGTGGCGCCCTGCCTCCGAACCAAAGATGCGCGCGACCCCATGGAGAACAGGGCTAGATGTTGTACGAATGAACATGATAAAAAAGTAGTTGACGCATGCCGTGAGTGCAGGGCTTGGGAAAAAACCGGGCAACGCATTCATGCCATCAATCAGCCTCCCCTGCAAATTGCGGTCTGATGTTTTACGCGCGACGTATCGTATTCTAGATCATCGATGGATGCATTCGTTGGGCTGCCGGCAGGGCGACGCGTGCTATATCTGACGCCCATCACCAATGCTGGATGCAACG